CTTCAGTCGTAGCCGCCTGCGTAGGAAGCCGCCTGGATAAGAGCCGCCGCGAGCGGGGGCCGCCCGTAGGAACCGCGTGCGCAGGAGCGCCTGCGTAGGAGCCGCCGACAGCGTGAGGGCCAGCTGGAGCCGCCTACGCAGGAACCGCTGCCAGTGGGACACGCGGGCGGGAGCCGCTTGCGCGCGCCTGCGCAGGAACCGCCGCAAGGGGGAACTGCCAGAAGCAGCTGCCGCACGTGGGAGCCGCCTCCAGGAGCTACCGCCAGTGGGAGCCTGCGCCGATAGCCGCTTCCAGCGGAAGTCGTCGCCTGCTGGGGGCCGCCAGCGCCGCGAGTAGGAGCCGCCGCGAGTGGGAGCTTGAAGTTGAACGCCATTCTTAGCAGAAGAAGAACAAGAAGCATCGTACTCATAGCACAAATACTGAGAAGACCACGAGGTTGGTGCGCTACGCTGCCACGGCAGGCAGGGGTGGTTTTTTTTAAACCCAATAGCATCACCCAAGCTGAACTCGCGGATAGATGGACACAGCGTAGTGGCACCAGATGGATAGGCCGAGCCTAAACTGCCTGGCGCCGATACCGCCAGCGTACTAAGGACACCTGTCGCCCGGGGGAAAATGCACATGGACGGGAACCATTGCACCACCGTTGCCGAAAAGCCAGGCCAGGCGCAGGATTATGATGATGATGATGATGATGATGATGATGATGATTCATAGAGTCGCGCTGGTGTTAAACAAATCGACTTATAGGTGGGCAAAAGCACGGACCTCGAAGCGCACTGCGGCGAGTGTTGCTGCACCCCAGCGCGTGCCGCATCACCTACGAGTGAGAAAGGAATGACCTGCCGTAGACACGACAAGCCTGCAAGTATTTTCGCGATGATCGTGCTGATGCTGATGGTGGTAATGATGATGATACTGGTGGGGGTGGTGATGGTGATGGTCACGACGATGATGGTGGTGATGATGATGGTGGTGACGATGATGATGCAGATGGTGATGATGCGGATGACGATGATGATGACGGCGGTGACGGTGACGACGACGGTGCTGATGATGGTGTCGATGGTTGCGACGATGACGATGTTGACGGCGTCGATGGTGATGATGCTGATGTTAATGACGATGCTGGTGGTGATGACGGTGGTGAGGATGAAAATGCTGATGAATGATGATGATGATGATGATGATGATGATGATGATGATGATGATGATGATGATGATGATGATGATGATGATGATGATGATGATGATGATGATGATGATGATGATGATGATGATGATGATGGTGATGGTGATGGTGATGGTGATGGTGATGGTGATGGTGATGGTGATGGTGATGGTGATGGTGATGGTGATGATGATGGTGGTGATGGTGGTGGTGGTAATGATGATGGTGATGAGGATGATTCCCCAATCAGTGCTTGCACTGAAGGGGTCCTCGCGGATGTTGCTAGAGTTGGCGAAAGTACTTCGCCGATTTTGGTGGCACGCTGGGTTCCCGGGTTCCCGAATCCGGGTTCCCGGGTTCCTGGTCATTGGTTCAGGCCCGATGGTTCACTACCGATCTCACTGTCGAGTTCATTACGGATCTCACTGGTTCCCGGGTTACCGGGTTCCTGATCATTGGTTCCGGGCCGATGGTTAATTATCGATCTCATTACCGATCTCACGTTCATTACGGATCTCATGCAATGTTCCCCAATCAGTGCCTGCACTGAAGGGGTCCTCGCGGATGTTGAAGGATTTGGCGAAAGTGCCCCGCCGATTTTGGTCGCACGCTAGGTTCCCGGGTTCCCGGTTCCGGGTTCCGTGCCGATTTCGGAGGGCGGCGAGGTTCCCGGGTTCCCGGGTTTTTGGTCGTTTTTTCATCGATCGGTCTCACCCTCGATCTCGTTACCGATTTCTCGATGGATCTCACCATCGATCTCACGATCGATCTCACTATCAATCTCAGAAGCGATCTCACTAGAGATCGCATGAGCGATCTCGCGATCGATCTCATTAATTTCACTCTCGGTCTCACGATCGACCTTACAATCATCTTCACTATCGATTCCACTATCGATTTCATCCTCGATCACACAATCGAGCTCAAGATCCATAGTATCAATTTTGAAATAATCCATTGATTGGGGTTTCTAAGGTGTAATTATGATGATGGTGGTGACGGTGCTGGTGATGCTGATGGTGATGGTGTCGGCGATGGCGATTGTGGCGGTGGTGACGATGATAACGATATGGATGAGGATGAGTAGGAGGAGGAGGAAGAAGAGGAGGAGGAGGATGACCACTGCAAACCCAAGAGCCATCAACGATGTTGGAATAAACCCTCCATCCAAGCTCCCTCTTCATAGGCCCCTACATCGGTTCATTTCCACTGAGGGAGCTGCCTCGTTGGAAGACAACCGTTTGAAGACCCCGAAGCATGTCAAAATATTGTTCTTTGAATTCCAGCGTCACGATTCAAATTGACTGTTGCGTTTTGACGATCCTGAATCCTGCCAGAACGCCGTTCCTGGGACTTCAACACCGCGAATCAACGTAGCTGCTGCGCCCTCATAATCCTGAATCCCCTCCAAAACACCATGCTTGGTACGCTGATCAAGGGAACTCGTGAAACTTTTGCATTTATACGTATTTACGTATGCGAATAATAATAGTCGTCGTCGAAATAAGAATAATAACGAAATTGCGCGGCCCGAAGGCGGGCGGCACATTTTGAAAATGGACCGCCCTCAATCCGTGAAACTCTTGCACATTGTTTTGAAACATGCACGCGGCGCTAAGGCGAGAGTCACATTTTGAAAACGGACCGCCTTCAATCCGTGAAATTATTGCAGATTTGTAGAACGATTGCGCGGGCCGCCCTCAATAATTATGTGAAGCTGTTGCAAAGTTTTAAACTTCAGGGTCATGGTGACGAAGTGTCAGGCGAAACGCCCAGACCGCCTTAAACATTGGCTTCGGGGTGCGACAGGGGGAAGTTCTTGTTCCCAATCAGAGCTTGCCTCTGTAGTGGTCCTAGCGGGTTCATATGGTTAGGTGAGGTATGGCGTCGATTTCGGCGGCACGCCCAGGTGCCCGGGTGCCCAGGTGGTGCTTGGGTGCCCGGGTGCCCAGGTGGTGCCCGGGTGCCCTATAGCTCTATAGCCCTGTAGCTCTATAGCCCTATAGCCCTATAACCTTATGGCCTTAAGCTCTATAGCCTATAACCCTATAGCCCTACAGCTCTATAGCCCTATAGCCATATAACCCTATAGCCCTATAGCCTTATAGCCTCATAGCCCTATAGCCCTATAGCCCGCTATCCCTATAGCCGCGTATTCCTGTAGCCATATAGCCCCATAGCCCTATACACCTCTAGCCCAATGGTCCTTTAGCCCTATAACCCCATAGCCCCATAGCCCCATAGCCCTATAGCCCTACAGACCTATAGCCCTACAGCCATATAGCCCTATAGCCAGGTAGACCCATAGCCCTATGTCCCTATGGCCCCATAGCCCTATAGCCCTAAAAAGATTATGGCCAGTTTTCCTCTGGTATCATTTATATGCAAAAGGAATCGAGGAGGTAGGGGAGGTTCGAGCTTCGACCTTGGAGGGGCAGTGTTTTCGGGCGTTTTCATTCATGCTGGGCCTCCAAGCGGCTTCTCGTCGCCACGGCCGGATTCCCCGCAGAGGATGAGGAGGAGGAGGAGGAGAAGGAAGAGGAGGAGGAGGAGGAGGAGGAAGACGAGGAGGAGGAGAAGGAAAAGTAGAAGGAGGAAGAGGAGGAGGAGTAGCTGGAAGAGGAGGAGGAGGAGGAGCAGGAGGAGCAGGAGGAGTAGAAGGAGGAGGAGCAGCAGGAGGAGGAGAAGGAGCAGGAGCAGGAGGAGGAGGAGGAGGAAGAGGAGGAGGAGAAGGAGGAGGAGGAGCAGGAGGAGGAGGAGCAGCAGGAGGAGCAGGAGGAGCAGGAGGAGAAGGAGGAGTCGGGGGGTTAGAGGAGGAAGAGGAGGGAAAGGGGGAGGAGGAAGAGGAGGAGAAGAAGGAGGAGGAGGAGGAGGAGAAGGAGGAGGAGGAAAAGGATGGTTGCGGTAGGTGTGTCTTTCCCCCCCCCAGGACTACGAGCGGGTCGACGCCTGCGACGGGCTGGGGTTGGCAAGCCGCCCAGGCTCGCGCCTGGAGTACTGGTCGCCCAAAGGCAGCCGGGGCGAGGTTCACAACGTAAGCGCAGTTGTGTCTGGCACAGCTGACCCTCCCTCCTACGGTGGACACGTCAAATAGCGCCCCTGCCCTCAGATGCCCCTCGGAGATTTCTGATTCCCCTGACGCCCCCAGGCACCCGTTAGAGTTCTGGGGCATCCCGCGAAGTGCAAAGCCGATCGAGCAATGTGCCCCTAAACTTCTAGTAGCGAGATTCCCGAACGTGCGCATCTACTGCATTCGTCCTCCTCCCTCTCCCCCTCCTGGCAGCCTCTCCCAGCTCATCCTCCTTGTCCTTCTCCTCCTTCTCCTCCTCCTCCTCCTCCTCCTCCTCTCCTCCTCCTCCTCCTCCTCCTCCTCCTCCTCCTCCTCCTCCTCCTCCTCCTCCTCCTCTGCGCTGTCGACCCTCCGCGCCGTGCGCTGCCCCTGCAGGCAACACGCCGCTGCCCCCGCCGAAGGCGAAGGAGGCCGCGCGGGTCCCGATGCCGCCCGCCCTGGAGGAGCCTGGGCGGCCTTCGATTTGGGCAGGCAGAGCGAGCGCGGCGCGGACGTTCAAGACTTGGCATCGCTCGGACGTGTGCATTTTTCCCCGGCGGGGACCAGCGAGGAGCATCTTGGATCATCGAGCCAACAAACAAAAAAAGCGCACGAAACCGACAAATGCGCGGGGCATGGACGTCCGAGCGATCGCAGGTTCAAGATCTACGGTCTCCGGCTTGCCTCCCCTCGGCGGCGCGCCGAGAGGATTCGAGGCTCGAGATTCGAGGTTTTCGGACGTGTTCGTCGGTCCGCGGAGGTTTTCGAGCCTCGGTGTGCTTTTTCCAGCGGCTGCGCCTCGCCTGGAGCGTTCCGGAGGTGCCCGGATCGCCCCGAACGGCCGCCAGGGGCCCGAGTTGGATATGGACCGAAAACCAAATTTGGCGGCGCGCCCAGGGGGGAAGGCAGAGGGGACGGGCCCTCTCAGGAGGCTCGGAAGGCCTCGTGCCTTCTGAGGAGCGTCGTGGGCCTCCGAAGCCCCAGGGGGGAGGGGTTCTCGAAAGGCCGCGGGGCTTCTCGGAAGCCCCGCCGGAAAAGGCCCGCCCCCCTCTCGATTCACCCCTCGGCGCGCCGCCGAGTCATGCCTGGAGCCCCAGGCCACCCCCCCAGGGGCAAGTAGCCGCCCTTCGCCCGCTGCCCTTCAGTAGGGCAGCGGCGGGAGGGCGCGAAGATCACCGCGGGGCCAGGAGGTTTTTAGCCCTGCACACCCCCCCCCACAGCTCTCGGCGAGGAATAAAACTCGTCCTCCCCCTCCTGGTTCTTCGCCTCCTTGCACTCCCCCACGTGCTACCACGCAATGGCATCTCCGGCATGGCTTGTGCGAAGAGAACCGCGGGGCGCGATGCGCGAGGTTGGGCGACCCAGTTCGAGTCCGCAGGTCTCCCTCTTGCCTCCCGGGTGGACCTCCCCGGCGTCGCGAGCGGGGCCACGGCGTCCGATGTGTTGCGAAGCAGTTTTGCTGGCCTCCCTGAAGAAGGGTCCGCGGCGAAGGGCCGGCCCCCGTGGTAAAAGCGCGCAGCTCATCGTAAGCATGATGCCTCTGCCCGTGGTGCTTTTTGGCTCTCCGTCTGACGGTGGGGACTCAAAGCAACCAGTCCTCCATCCCAAGAGGTGGGGGAGCCAGAGCAACTGCAGCCAAGACGCTGAAATAAGGACCACTGGGCTCAGGAGGGACTCCGGTTTGGGGGCCCTTCTTCAAGTCCAGGTCGGGCGACCTATCCGTTGCCGAGGCCCGCTGTGGCCAGCAAAGCCCATTCCTTACTTGTTCGGCGCTCCGTCTGGTAGCACGATGACTGCACGTAGCACGGCGCAGGTTGACCAGAGGCTGAGAGCTCCCAGCTGGGCCCTGGGGCCAGCCAGAAAACGGTTCGGGCGAAAGAGCAGGTCCTGGGCAAGTGGTCGAGACCTCCTAGGGGCACCACGCTGCGAGAAAGCACCACGTCGGGGCCCTGGGCTGGGCCCAGGATGTGCCCGGCCAAGGCTGGTGCTGGCGGACAGGGGGCGTCCTCCGCCCACGCGATCCGACTCCACGGCGCTCGTCGAAATCGGCACATGGGAGGGGTTGGCGCCAGGGGGTCGGCCTCCTTCGAGAGAAGGCCAGGTCACCCCCAGGGGCGCGAAGATAACCGCGCTTCGCGCGTCACGGCCGGTGGCCAGAGCAGCTGCCCTTTCCCATAAGGGGGGGCGGCGCGAGGGCGCGAGGATGACCGTACGTCGCGCATCGCGGGGAGCCTAGAAACCCAGGAATCTAGAAACGTTCTCACGTCGCGAGTTACGTGACCTAGAAGCCTGCCGTGCATCCCTGAATCCGACCTCCACCTCCCTTTCGATCCGCTCTGCTGTAGGTTCCCCTGCCGTCCGTCCCCGTCGCCTGCTTCCTCTTTCCTTACTGCTGCTGCTGCTGCTGCTGCTGCTGCTGCTGCTGCTGCTGCTGCTGCTGCTGCTGCTGCTGCTGCTGCTGCCCATGCCCGGCGCTGGGCTTCTGACGCCTGGATGGTCACATTGATGGAGCTCTGCGCGGATTTCTTGGATCTGCGCTGGACCCCCCTCCCTGACGCGCTGAGCCTGAGCGCGTCACCGCCAGGGGGGGCCAGCGCTGATCCAAGAAATCCGCGCGGAGCTCCGAAAGTGCATGTTTATGTTGTTTTTGCTCCTCTGTCGAACGCAGGGGGGGGGACGGGCTGTCGCAATGATGAACTGCCGAGGAGGCTGCCATCAAGACCGGACTGATCAAGCGCTCTCGCTGGCGGCGCGCCGGGGCCGCGGGCCCACGAGGGTTCCACGGCCTGCGCATCCGCACCTTCCAGGCGAGGTGGCGCGACGACGGCGGCCGGAGATTCCAAACGGGTGCGGTGCCCACATCGTCGGGTATGGCAGCGGGGGGTCCCCAGAGGAGGGCGTATGCAGACAACGGAAGTTGGCCTTCGGGGAGGGGCCCCTCGTCGCCACGGCCGGACGCAGCCGGACGCCAGGAGGGGTCTATTCTGGGGCCTATTCTGAGCTGCCGCCGTCGCAGCTCGCCCTGCTCCGCATTCCCAGGTCGCCCGCGGTGGCGCGGAGATGATCGCGATTCGCGCGTCGCGGCCTGGTCCGCGGAGGTGCCCCTCCCCATGGCGGCGGAGCGAGGGCGCAGAGGCAATCGCGCGTCGTGCACCGAGGGGCACGGTGCGCGAGGTTCGTTGCCCTCGGCCCCGGGAGCCGGGGTGAGCGCACGGCTCTGGGACTCGGGCCGCTCTCTGGGGTCGTCTCGGGCGACTCGGGCGTCCGAGGTCCCAAGACCGTGCGGCTGCGGACCTTGCGTCGGGGTCTTCGGGGGGTTCGAGGTCACCGGACGGTGCAGGAGGCTTTCTCTCTCCAGAACGGAGGCTCAACCGTCAGGACGGAGGGTCTTCGATCCTTTGGGATTGCGTCCGCTCACACGTGTACGTCAGATCTGCGCTCCAGCATGCTGTAGTGCAGAGCCGCCCGCATTGCGCGTCTTCGCGGGCTCCCACACCAATGGCAGATTCGGGCTGTCAGCTCCGTAGCCCTTCGAGCTGCCAACCAGAGCCTGACGCAGCGCTGCGTCTCCGCACCGTCTTGGGGATCCCCGCAGGCGCGGAGGAGAGGACGCAGCTGCTGCGCATGGCGCTGCACCGGCTGAGGCCCACGGCCCTGACGGCGCAGGGCCACGAGTTGTGGGGCGCGGTCGGCTGCAACGTTTCTCACAGGCTCGGGGGCGTCCACGAGGGGGCGTCCTCTTTCTCCTCTCCCCCACCCTTCCCATGCCCCTCCTCCTCCTACTCCTCCTCCTCCTCCGCCTCCTCCTCCTCTTTCCCCTTTATCCTCCTCCCTCTCCTCCCCATTACCCCCCTCCTCCTCCCCCTCTCCCTCCTCCTCCGCTGTTGGGCGCGGTCGGCTGCAACGTTTCCTATAGGCTCGGCCGCGTCCAAGGGTGTGAGGACTAGAGGACGTTTCGAACGGGGACAGACTGACAGACGTTCACCATAAGCTCCAAACGGTCTCTGGGAAGAGCTGAATGCACTATGCACTGCAGCAAGAAGCAGAATCGTCACTGGGCGGAACAACGAATTGAATGCCAAATGCTTCTGGAGCGGCGAGGCTGGTCAAGCCAGGAACGTGCCTAAAGGCTGGGCCTCGAGGCGACAGGACGGTGCCCTACGGAGCCACGACGGCTCCAGAGCACGTCCCAATGATCTCCCACGTGTAAGGGGACCGTGAGGGGCAATCACGAATTTTGTCCCGGGGCTAACTGGGACTCTAACAGCAGGGCGAGAGGAGGAACATGTCCGCCCCCGCTCGGGCGCGTCAAAGTAGAACCAACCCAAAGCAGGGCTGGTTAGGGAATTCACCACGGATGCATCAGCCAACTATCAAAAACGAGCGGAAGACAGTTTTCTACAAGTTCATTGTGCTCCGCTACTACTGTTGCTGTTCATACTATTGCTGTGCCATCTCATGCATCCTGTCACTGCCCATGATTGCCTGATACTGTGGCGTGCCTGGCACGGTTCGACGTGATGCTTAATAAATTGTGACAAGGCGGAGCCTAGATGGACGAGCGAGGTTGCTTGGTCGAACGTCGGCGACAGCCTGTTGAACTTGGAAGACCGCCCGATCAGCACCAGCTTCGAGCAGCGGCAGTCACGGAGTGTTACCAGATTCGCGGGTAACATCAGAACACAGTTGCTTGCCAGTGTCATCAGCTCTGCTTACTGTGCCATCCCAAAAGACGAGATCCCTTGACTCATCAGACGGTAATCCACCATCATGTTGAGCGAGAGAACGCGTCCGTAAACAACTCTCGAGCTTGTTGCCGAGCCTTTCATCTGCCGAGGGCGGTGAGCTACCCCTCCATGTGTTCCAGCATCTTCTGAATCTCGCGCTCCCTGCACGTGGGTGGGGCCCGCCCTTGCTTCAGCTGCATGCCTTGGGTCCCCTGGGACGCCTCGAGCATCATCTGGCGAGAAGCCTGATCCCTGAACGAAGAAATCACCTTCTTCATCTCCCTCTGGAAGACCTTGTCCACCTTGCAGCACAGCACCAGCTCACATGTCTCCTCCACGGTCCAGCTGTTGCACTCCTCGCAAGCGCGAGCCAGCTTGCCCTGAAGCACCTTCGAGATGTGGACTCCCTGCGCTGGGGAGTCGGGTTTCTGATCTTTCAGCCAGTTCTCGCTCGGGAGTCGGGGTTTTGATATGATTTGATCCCAGATCAGCGGAAGACCGTACTCGTGATTTGCTTTCCTTTTCACCACCTCGCCGTAAGTGGCCGCTTGCTCCTGCGTCGAAAGCAGAAGTGGAGCGGTCTCGGGCGAAAGGAACGCGTCGAACAAGGCCGCCAGAACCTCGCGCATGTGTTGGGAGTTGCGGAGGGCCTGGCGCACCAACATGCCGAACACTTGCGTCTGGCCAGACTTCCACGCCTTGACCTCTTTGAGCCCGCTGGCTTGCTTGCCGTCGCCTTCTGCCTGGCGCTGGCGCACCTGGCGGACGCATGCTTGAGCGCCGCCCTGGGCTCCCACCGTGAGCACTACCGGCACGTGCTGCCTGCCGCGGATGGCCGGGGCGAGGGATAACAAGCCGCGGGAGCGGCAAGGGTAGATGTTTGCGTCGAAGGCCCGCGTGTAATTTATTCACCGAACCAAAATTTGCTACGTCACACAATCCACGCCGAAGTTCACAAGGTTCCTGGAGTTCCCAAGACATGTTTGCCTGGCCAAGCTGATCTTTCCCGTTAGCACAGGCCCGCTTTAGGTGATTTTGGGTAGATGGTATATCCCGAAAGACCGAGCAGTTTTTTGAACACTGGTTCACGGCGACTCCTGGGAGAATGATAAAACGCATACCATGACGCGCAGTCTGGTGCGCAATAAGTTGTCTAAGGGAAGCGAAGCCCAAGCCACAGCACTGTTGAGTAGGATCTAAAAACTTACGCACGTATTCATGTCCAGACTTGGGTGTCTGTAAACGAATAAGACTAAATAATCGGAAAGAGCGTGTTCGACCGCTGCTGGCGGAAAACCGGGGGGGGTCACTGGGGGGTCCCAACCCGTTGCCCCCCCCCCCCCCCCCCTCGAAAACTGGGGGGTGGTCACTACCGGTTCGAACCCCTCCCCCCCCCAGTCCATTATGCAAAGGGGGGGTCATTACCGTTCGAACCCCCCCTCCCCCTTTTCTTTTCTTCGAAAACCGGTGGGGGGTTCACTACCGGTTCGAACCCCCCCACTCCGCTTCTCCCTCCTCGCCGCCGGCAATCGATTCCCGCTCCTCGGGACAGTTGGACAATGGTGGGGATGCTGGGACAGTGGTGGGAACGGTGGTGGTGGGGACAGTGGTGCGGGGACAGTGGGACAGTGGTGCGGACAGTGGTGGGGACTGGTGGTGGGGACAGTGGTGAGGGGACAGCGGGACAGTGGTGGGGACAGTGGGACAGTGGGACAGTGGTGGGGACGGTAGTGGTGGGGACAGTGGTGAAGGCGGTGGTGAGGACAGTGGTGGGACAGTTGTACAGTGGGGAAAGTGGTGGGGACAGTGGGACAGTGATGGGGACAGTGGGGACGGTGGGACAGCACAGTGGGACAGCGGCGGGCACAGTGGGACAGTGGTGGGTACAGTGGGGACAGTGGGACAGTGGTGGGGACCGTGGGGAAAGTGGGGAGAGCGGGACCGTGGTGGGACAATGGTGTGGGCGCTTTGGGAATAGGGGGAGTACATTGGTGTGGGGACAGTGGGAATGTGGTGGAAACAGTGGGACAGTGGAGGGTACAGTGGTGGTGGGGACAGTGATGAGGGCGGTGGCGAGGACGGCGGTGGGACAATGGGACAAAGGTACAGTGGGGACAGTGGTGGGGACAGTGGTGGGGACAGTGGGGACGGTGGCGGGCGGGAACAGTTGGACAGCTCAGTGGGACAGCGGCGGGGACAGTGAGACAGTGGGGACAGTGGGACAGTGGTTGGGGCCGTGGAGAAAGTGGGGAGGGTGGAACCGTGGTAGGAACAGTGGTGGGGACAGTGGGGACAGTGGTGGGGGCACTGGTGGGGACAGTGGGGACGGTGGTGGGAACAGCGGGGACGGTGGTGGTGAGGACAGTGGTGCTGGGGACAGCAGTGGGGGATGTGGTGCGGACGGTGGTAGGGACCCGGGAGTCGTTTGCTGGCGGTGAGCGTGGGTGGGGGGGGGGAGGGGTTCGAAGCGGTAGTGACCCCCCCCCCTCTTTTCTGGAGGGGGGGTACGAACCAGTGGTGACCCCCCCTGGTTTTCCGGAAGGGGGGGGGGTTCGAACCGGTGGTGACCCCTCCGGTTTTCCGGAAGGGGGGGGGAGGGGGGTTCGAACCGATAGTGACCCTCCCCGGTTTTTGGAGGGGGGGGGAGGGTTCGAAGCGGTAGTGACCCCCCTTTGGTTTTCTGGGGGGGGTAGTGACTCCCCCGGTTTTTCGGGAGGGGGGGGGGTCGAACCGGTAGTGACCTTTCCCGATTTTCCGGAAGGGGGGGGGGGGGGGGGCAGGGGAGGGGGGGGGAGGTTTTTCTGGGGGAAGGGGGGAGGTCCAGCAGGGGGGAGGGGGGGGAGTTTCGGGGGGGGGGGGGGGGGGAGAACCCTGGGTTCTGGAGGAAGATGGGGGGAATTTTCTACAGTAAAGCGGGAGTGGATCACGCTCTCTCAATGATCGGCCCTATTGTTTTTTATCCGCAGAAATTGCGGAGCGTTATATACCAGGGCTTATCTGCAG